ACCATTCGAGTGGATAGAAGAATAGCCAAAATGTCAAGGACTCAGCCAACAATCAGCTCCAGGAAGATCAAAGAAGGTCTAAAGTTGCCTGTGAGTACTGTTACAATTAGAAGACGCCTATGTGAAGCTAAGCTATCTGCAAGAAGCCCCCACTGTTGAAAAAAAGACATGTGCTGAAGAGGTTACAATTTGCCAAAGAGCACATTGACTGGCATAAAGAGAAATGGCGCAACATTTTGTGGACTGATGAAAGTAAGATTGTCAGACGACCCCCAAACACTGAATTCAAGTCACAGTACACTGCGAAGACAGTGAAGCATGGTTACGCAAGCATCATGATATGGGGATGTTTCTCATACTACGGTGTTGCGCCTATTTATCGCATACCAGGGATCATGGATCAGTTTGAATACATCAGAATACTTGAAGAGGTCATGCTGCCTTATGCTGAAGAGGAAATGCCCTTGAAATGGGTGTTCCAACAAGACAATGACCCCAAACACTCCAGTAAACATGCAACATCTTGGTTCCAGACCACCAAGATTGACGTTATGGAGTGGCCAGCCCTATCCCCGGATCTTAATCCATTAGAAAACTTGTGGTGTGATATCAAAAATGCAGTTTCTGAGGCAAAACCAAGAAATAGAGAAGAACTGTGAAATGTAGTCCAATCATCTTGGGCTGGAATACCTGCCAGAAGTTGGTTGACTCGATGCAACACAGATGTACAGCAGTTCTCAGAAACAGTGCTTATACAACTAAATATTAATTAAGTGATTCAAAGGAAAGCAAAATCTTCAAACATTTTTCAGTTTATATAGTGAATGTTTGAGTTTGTAAAGAAGAATACAAACACTGCTATTTTTTTGAACAGTCTAATATTCACTTTTCTTCAAATTTTTTAGAGGAACAACACAAATTTGATATATGTTTCTTCATGTTTTGATTTGGAATATAATGTGTAGTGTTCCCAATGCATTTGTGTGTATGGAAATAAAAGCTATTAGAAGGATTTTGAGCTTTAGTCACTTTTTTCAACATACTGCTATTATTTTGAACACAACTGTGTATATATATTATATACATATATATATATAGATAGAGAGAGAGAGAGAGAGAGAGAGAGAGAGCGCTGTTGGCGCTATATAAATTCGATATAATAATAAATAATAATACTACTCTTGGTGACAGGATCAAGTTTTTCCCAGAGTGGAACGGCCCATTCAAAAGCACGCCCATAGAGCAGTGGCACAATATAAGCCATCTGTAACTCAAAGTGGATGTTACACTGGTTCACAAAGCCATGGTAGGCCTTTAGATCTCTGAAAAAGTGGAGAGATGGCTACAAGTGAACAGAAGATTCCACCAAGAGCAATAGCAGATGGGCAGCAGGTGATGCAGAGAGAGCTGGAAACACTCCCATGCTTGGTGTCCTAATGTCATTTTGGCAAAACGTCTCGCTTTACAGCTGCTGCCATTCCAGCTGGCTGATTCAGTCCCATTCCATGTGTTTGTGGCCTGTGCTACACCCCACAGGCAAGTAAAAAGCTTTAATTTATTTGTCTAAAAAAGACCATCCCTTCACTTCATGAGCATGTTATAGGTAACGTCTACATGTCACTGGACCACAGAGTCAGTGACAGGGTTCACATGACTAGAGACCCCTGGTCCATCAAGTATCTTATTCCTGAACTCTTGGCTACATTTTCTGGTAGAGGGGAAGTGTGCAGCATGAAGCATACAACTTGACTTGAAACACCCCAGAGTCTATGCAAGGGTTCAGACAAAATTTTGCCATGCCTTTTATTGCAGCAGGTATGTCTGGAGGGAGTGAGGGAGGGAGGGAGGGAGGCAGAGCGTGGGTTGGCCCCATGTCATCTTGTGTCAGGCAAGGTCATGTGTGACAATGGCACCATCCTACTTTCTGCCATTTAGCAGGAAAGTTCAAACATATGCTTTCCCTGGCATATGCCCTAACCTGTTGGTGCAGTGGTTCCTGGTTAGGTACAATTGGATTCCAGGATGTCCAACAGTAGGCCAGAAGAGTGAGCAGAAACCCTAGGTGTTCATATATGTGGTACACCCATGCACTGGAACTCAATGTTGGTCATGCTGCAGTGGCTGTACCAGAAACAGCAGGCAATCAAAAATGATCTTCATGAGTAAGGTTTGAGAACAGCCGCTGGATTCCTGGGGTTATTTTCACTACATAAATGACTCCTGATTCAGGGCACATGCAACATCTTTGCACTATTCAAAGAGGCAACCAGATTGGATCCAATCGGTGACAAGGCAGTGATTACTGACACAATTCTAGCATTCTAACTATTGTTTCTGAAATGACACACACTAATTTTTACTTTTTTAAAAACCTGCCTCATCTCTTCTTCTTAAATTGCATCCTAATATAGCTGTTTAAAAACTTAGCATCAACTGTACACAATTCCTGGCATTTGTCTGTGAAATAATTTTCTCAAATTTTTACGTCTTGATAAAAATTAGACTCATTGCTCACTCTTAAACTGAAGCCTTGTAAAAGTGTTTGCATACTGTGTAACAACCGTACAATTATTTCTGGTTATTGTCTGTGAAATAATAAACTGATTTTGTTTTTCAAACGTATTAGCCGCGACTCTCCTAGGGGCAGGGGTCTTATTTCAGATATGTATCGTCAACTCTTGGTTAGTTCTTTTCCCACACCCCCTCTTTACAGACAAAAATGGGAAACTGATAGTGGTATCACCTTTTCGGATGAGGATTGGGATTCCATGGTGGATAACATATGTAAGAGCTCCAGATCCCTTTTGGTCCGTGAGACAGCCCTTAAGGTATTTTTTTTTTTTTTATAAATATTTTATTGATTTTCAATCCATATACAAGTCATTTCAACATATCTATTAAAATATTTATCAAAAACATATTTTCTCCTTATAAAATTTATTCCTATATATGGCTTTCTTTTCATACCATCCCCCCCTCCCAAAAATACCCCCCCCCCCTTCTCCCCGTCCCCTCCCTTCCCTCCCTCACCTTCCCACGCTCCATATTCTCTCTTCTCTCATTTACTCCATATGATTCTGTTATTCTTAAATCCAATTCTAAACCGACTACCCGGGACCTTATCTCTTCACCTTTTTCACCATTTCTTTATATTCTCCCCATCCTTTCCATTTTTTATTGTACATCTCCAACTTATCCTCGTGCATATAATACAATCTTTCTGTCCCAGAAATCTGGTTTACTCTACCCATCCAGTCTTCCTCAGTTGGCACCTCTCTTTTCTTCCAGTACCTGGGTATCAAGCTCTTTGCTGCGGTTAAGTAGTACCATATCTCTGACCTCTTATATACTTTCACTGGGAGTTCTGAGATATGGAGGAGGCATAATTCTGGGTCTAATCCTATATTGATTTTAGTAATCTTCCTTATCAAGTAAACTATCCTTCGCCAGAACACCTGTATTTCTGGACACTCCCACCACATATGATACCACGTGCCCACCTCTCCACAATCTCTCCAACACATCTGTGAAATTTCCGTATTCATCTTGTGCTCCAGGCAAGGGGTAATGTGCCATCTATTCAAACATTTATAATTTATTTCCACTTCTCTCATACTAATATTTTCGTGAATTAATGTGAACATCTTCTTCTTCTCCTCCTCCTCTATTTTTCTTCCCATATCTCTTTCCCATTTCTCTATGTGCATTAATTTTGTGTGTGTATCAAGTTCCATTAATATCTTATGTATTTTTGCCGTTCCGTGTCTACCATTTCCCCGTGACTCAAAAATTCTCTCAAATGGATTCCAATCTTTTCTAGTTCTTGTAGGTTTTGGAAGGCTTTCAAAAAAGTTCTTCAGTTGGTAATATCTTAATCTATCCATCTTATTAAAGACTTCACCCTTTCTTTCCTCCATATCCTTATATGACCCAATTTCCTCTCCTACCATTATATCTCTCAATTGCGCCTCCTGTTTTATAATCCATTTCCCTGCTATGCTATCTTTACCCGGGATTAAATATTTTGTGTTCCTAAGTGGTATTAGTTGTGAATTAAAAAAAACCCACCCCTTTTGTCTATGTAATAAATCCCATTCTTTTAAAAACAATAAAAGTGTACGTGCTTGTGCTCTCCTCTAATTCTCTGTATTGTGCAGGCACCCAGATACTATTACTCAAACTTATTCCACTCAGTGTTTTCTCAATTTTGACCCAACTTTTCTCCAATTATGAATCCAATCGAAGATTCTTGCAATAATCCCCTTTGTAATATCTCCTAAATCTGGTACCCCCCAGTCCTCCTCTTTCTTTACTTCTAGTTAAACGTTTCATACCCTATTCTAGGCTTTTTATTCCTCCATATACATTTTATTATCATTTTCTTCAGTTTCTTTAACCACTTGCCTACCAGGCACTTATACCCCCTTCCTTACCAGGCCAATTTTCAGCTTTCAGCGCTGCCGCACTTTGATTGACATTGCGCGGTCATGCAACATTGTACCCATATGAAATTTTGATCATTTTTTTCTCACAAATAGAGCTTTCTTTTGGTGGTATTTAATCGCCACTGGGCGCTTTACTTTTTGCGCTATAAATTTAAAAAAGTGCAAAAAATTTGAAAAAAAAAAAGTTTATTTGTTTCTTTTATAAAATTTTTCAAACAGGTATTTTTTTCTCCTTCACTGATTTGCGTTGATGAGGCGGCACTGATGGGCACTGATAGGCGGCACTGATGGGCACTGATAGGCGGCACTGATGGGCACTGATAGGCAGCACTAAAGGGCACTGATAGGCAGTACTAATGAGGTGGGCACGGATAGGCGGCACTGATAGAACAGCACTAATTAGGGGTCACGGATAGGCGGCACTGATATGCAGCACTGATAGGCGGCACTGATAGGTGACACTGATGATGGGTACTGATAGACGGCACTGACTGGCATCACTTCTGGGCACTGACTGGCGGCACTGACTGGCACAACCCCTGGGCACTGATGGTGGCACTGACTGGCAGCACTGGTGGGTGGCAACTGGTGGGTGGCACTGGTGGACAGCACTGGTGGGTGGGCACAGGTGGGTGGCACTGGTGGGCACAGGTGGGTGGCCACTGGTGGGCACAGGTGGGTGGGCACAGGTGGGTGGCACTGCTGGGCACATGTAGGTGGCACTGCTGGGCACAGGTAGGTGGCACTGCAGAGTGGCACAGGTGGGGGCACTGCTGGGCACAGGTGGGGGCACTGCTGGGCACAGGTGGGGGCATGCTGGGATGGAGTGGGCGGGGCTAGTGGGCGCACAGCTGATCGGAACTTGCGGGGGGGTCACTGCTGGGCACCGATCATCAGGGCACTGATCATCAGTGCCCTGATGATCGGTGCCGATCCCCGCTCTGACAACTGCCGGTTTCTCGGCAGTACTTTCCTCACGATCTGACAGCGTGAGGAAAGTGCAGCCGAGAACCGGCACTTGCATTTTCCTGTGATCAGCGTGTCATTGGACACCGCTGATCACGTGGTAAAAGGCCGTGGGATCGGCCTTTCACCACATCTCGTGATCAGCTGTGTCCGTAGGACACAGCGATCACGGAGATCGCCGGGGTGCGCGCCCCCTGGGGCGCGCAGGAGAGCGCGTTCTGGGAGGACGTCATATGACGTCCACTCAGAAAATGGCCGGCCGCGGTGAAGCCGTCATTCGGCTATGCGCGGTCGGCAAGTGGTTAAAATATGCCTCTGGGAGTTTGATTGGGATCATTTGAAATTTATATAATACTTTGGGGACAATTACCATCTTTATCAAATTTATACGAACCTATCCACGATGGATTTCCATTTCCCACCCTCCTCAGCTCCTCCTTAATTTCATTTAATAATATTATATAATTGGCTTTATAAAGATTTTTATTTGAGGTTGATAATTTTATTCCTAGATATTTTTAATTCTTTGTCTCTCCAAAGGAAAGGGAATTCCTCTTGTAGTCTTTCTTTTTTCACTGTTTTTTGAGATTTATGTTTAAGATTTCGGTCTTTGTCGGATTAATTTTCAGATTCGACAGGTCTCCATACTCCCTCAATGCTTTCATTAAATTTGTAAGTGATGTTCTAGGGTTTCCAACATAAAAACATCAGGTCGTCCGCATAGGCCACTACCTTGTGTTCTCTATCACCTATCTTTATTCCTTTTATGTCTATGTTCTTTCTAATCATGGACAGTAAGGGCTCCAGTGACAACACGTATAGCAGTGGGGACAATGGGCATCCCTGTCTTGTACCATTTGACATCTTAAAGTACTCTGATCTTCCTCCATTTACCATTATGGTAGCGGTAGGCCCTCTATACAACTCTCCAATCCACCCTCTCATTCTATCTCCCACTCCCAACGCTTCCAGAGTGTCCATCATAAAACCCCAACTCAACTCTGTCGAATGCCTTCTCAGCATCTATCGACATCAGTATCATTGGGGTATTCCCTTTTTTGCCCCTCCTGTATAAGCAACAGTGATCTCAGAGCATTATCTCTACCCTCTCTTCCCGAGACAAACCCCACTGGTCTCCATGTACCCACTCCGGCATCAGCTCTTTCAGTCTATTTGCCAGAACCTTTGCATATATTTTTGTGTCTACATTCAGCAGCGCTATGGGACGATAACTCGCACATTGTGAGGGATCTTTATCTTCTTTCTGTATCAATACTATATTCGCCTGTAAAGACTCTCCCCTTATCTTCATCCCGTTTCCCAAGGTGTTCATATAAATCTTCATTTTGGGAATTAAAAGCTCTTTATATTTTTTATAGTATTTGGCCGTATATCCACCCGGACCTGGGCTTTTCCCTCCCGCCATGCTTTCTAATGCTAATTTTATTTCCTCTGTGGTTATTTCTGCCTCTAGAGAGTTTCAGTTGTGTTTCTCTTAATTTCGGTAGGCCTGCCTCCTCTAGGTATGTCTTTCTTTTTCTCTCTATTTACTGTTTCCGTTTTCCTGAACGTATCCTGAGGTATGATATTATACAACTCATTATAGTACTCTTTAAATATTCTAGCAATATCCTTGGTTGAGTGTACAAATTCCCCCTTGGGGTTTCTTATTTTCTCAATATAATTTCTATTTTTCTTCTTTCTTAAAGTTCTCATTAAATACTTTCCCGGCCTATCTCCCCATCTATACCTTTCACTTGTTATTTTATTAAAGACTCTTCTTTTTTCCTCCTCCATTACATTCTCTAATTCTTCTTTCTTCTTTATTAACCTCTGCATTATCTCCTTAGTTCTTTCCCTTTTATGCACCTGTTCAAGATCATATATTTCATTTAATAATCTATTTATCTTTTCTCTCCTTTCTTTTTTCTTTTTTGCCCCCATTGCAATAAGTAGGCCTCTGATGTAAGCTTTATGTGCTTCCCACACCGTTGCAACCGACACATCCTCTGTTTCATTCTCATCAAAAAAAACATTCAATTTCTCTCTCAATTCTTTGACCAATCTCTTCCTCCATGAGAAGTGCCTCATTCAACCGCCATACATAACCTTCTCTCCCTTCTCTACCCCATCTTAACTTCATAGCAACTGGGGCATGATCCGACAGGGTGCTTCCTTCAATTTTTACTTCTACCACCGACTCTATCACTCGATGTTCTACTAATATGTAATCTAATCTAGAATAAGTCTCATGTATGTGCGAGAAGAAAGTATAGTCTCTCTCCTTCATATTCCTAATTCTCCAGATGTCCACCAACTGACACTCATGCATCAATTTCTTTAACATTCTCAAGGAAAGTCAAAGCCCTTAAGGTATTAACCAGATGGTATTATACCCCATCCAGACTACATGTCTTGTATCCAAACACATCTCATCTATGTTTTTGTGGCTGCGGCCTTGCAGATACTCTGGTGCATACATTTTGGACCTGTCCCGGGCCTCTCCTTGGTGTGGCGTAGGATCTCGGAGGTAGCTTCTGCACTGGTGGGTGTTCCGGTGCATCTGACTGTACTGTCCTGCCTACTAGGAGGCCATATCTTGGGAGTTCAGACTGAGGTTATGAGGCTAATCCACACCATTTGTATATCCACCCTATGGGCTATTGCCCTACACTGGAAGTCCCTCACAGTACCATTGGCTTCTGTTCTGCATAGGATTGATGCTGTGATGCTCATGGAGAGAATTCATTACACTTTACTGGACAAGATGCACTTATTTGATAGAAAATGGGAAATTTGGAGAACTCATAGGCATTTACTACATGATTAAGAAACACCCATGTTTGGATTGATTGAGTTATTCTGTCAGTAGCCGAATAATTCTTCATACCTTTCTATTTATATTGCTCATGTACTTAAATTCTTTTCTCTCTTCTTTTTTCTTTACTTTACATGATGGTACTTTCTGACATGCACATTTCAGTTGTGCCTTGTTTCTGTTTTATATACTGTTTGAAGATGTAATGCTACTTTACAGTCTATTGCTTGAAAAATAAAATAGTTTGTAAACAAAGAAATAATTTTCTCTAAATTTTCAGTCTTGATAAAATTAGCCTCATTGCTCACTCTTAAACTGAAGCCTTGTAAAAGTGTTTACATACTGTGTAACAACCGTACAATTATTTCTGGTTATTGTCTCTGAAATAATAAACTTTAATTTTCTTTTAAACTCCAGCCTACTCAAACTGTTTACATACTTTGCAGTGCCAGTAAAATATTTGCAGGTTTTATCAATGAAATTAAATATGCTAATATTTATTTTATATTAAACCCGTTACGTCTCTGTTTTAAATTGCAACCCAAAAAAGTTGCTTTTATACTCTGCAATGGCTGTACAATTTTTTAGCTAGTGTCTCTGATATATTACGTTAAAATATTTCATGACACACGCTGTTTTGTCTCACCTTCCTATACTGCTGCCTCATCATGTTACCTATATACTCTCCAGCCACTATGTTATACAGTATGTGTGGCTACTTACTAACTTTCAATTACTTTGGGTATTGACTCAATAATATGCTCTAATTGTTATTTTTTATAAAACCTGCCTTGTTTTTCTCTCGATCTTAAATTGTGGCTGAATTAATCTGCTTAAAAACATCCTAATGGAATACACATGTAGATAGTATTATGGACCAGATGCCTGCATAAAGAGCTACACAAAGAATTACCAATATTGACAGACTATGGGGACTAATAAGCTCTGCCTAAATGCAATCTACTTCATCACCACCCAAGAGAACACCTTTCCTCTGTCGAGGATGTATCAATCTAACAAGATTCAGCTGTGTCCCAAAATAAGGGCTTTTTCTCTCCATTGTCTGCAAGTTCCAAGATTGAGCTCAATGGAAACAATAGGTGCACTCTTCCCACTCTCCTCTTCCAGCCAACTATTACAGTCTTCCAACAGAGGGGTAAGTCAAAATCTAGAGAGAGTGTATTGACAAAACAAGACTTAGTTTGCAGACTAAAGAGTCCCAATAAGATTTCAGACACTATACAAAGCCATATATTTAAGGGATGCAATCTCTAACAACATAAATTGCAGAAATAGGGAAAAGAACATACAGTGGGGATCGAAAGTTTGGGCACCCCAGCTAAAAATTTGTATTAATGTGCATAAAGAAGCCAAGGAAAGATGGAAAAATCTCCAAAAGGCATCAAATTACAGATTCGACATTATTATAATATGTCAACTAAAGTTAGATTTTATTTCCATCATTTACACTTTCAAAATAACAGAAAACAAATAAATGGCGTCTGCAAAAGTTTGGGCACCCTGCAGAATTTATAGCATGCACTGCCCCCTTTGCAAAGCTGAGACCTGCCAGTGTCATGGATTGTTCTCAATCATCGTCTGGGAAGACCAGGTTATGTCAATCTCAAAGGTTTTAAATGCCCAGACTCATCTGACCTTGCCCCAACAATCAGCACCATGGGTTCTTCTAAGCAGTTGTCTAGAAAACTGAAACTGAAAATAGTTGATGCTCACAAAGCTGGAGAAGGCTATAAGAAGATAGCAAAGCGTTTTCAGATGTCAATATCCTCTGTTCGGAATGTAATTAAGAAATGGCAGTCATCAGGAACAGTGGAAGTTAAAGCAAGATCTGGAAGACCAAGAAAAATATCAGACAGAACAGCTCGCAGGATTGTGAGAAAAACAATTCAAAACCCACGTTTGACTGCACGATCCCTCCAGAAAGATCTGGCAGACACTGGAGTTGTGGTACACTATTCCACTATAAAGAGATACTTGTACAAATATGGTCTTCATGGAAGAGTCATCAGAAGAAAACCTCTTCTACGTCCTCACCACAAAAATCATCGTTTGAACTTTGCAAATGAACATATAGACAAGCCTGATGCATTTTGGAAACAAGGTCTGTGGACCGATGAGGTTAGGCAAAGGTACGTTTGGAGAAGAAGGGGCACAGAATTTAATGAAAAGAACCTCTGTCCAACTGTTAAGCATGGGGTTGGATCAATCATGCTTTGGTG